TATGCATAAAACTTTGACAAGGATAGATTTAGAAGTACAGTTTTTTGTTTTTTCCTTTTTTAATGATAAGTATATTTTTTTTTTTTAAATCTAACTCCTGCATTGTTTATTTTGTAAAACTTGATGAAAAGCAAATGTTTTCATTGTTTCAAATAGTTTGAATCTTGGTACCAATGTTTCTTGGAATGACTACAGAATACTTTCGTCTCTCCAATTTATAGGCAAAACAACAGAGATGCATGCTGGGATTTCTTCCTAGCCAATAAAATAAGCCAGTTCTTGGTTTCATCTGACTCAATCCCAGTCAGTCTGGTCTTAAAGTCAGAACACTACATTCATTTGTTTGAACTTGTACTTATGTATCAACTCCAATTTTTAGTTTGTGAACATTTTGCTATATTACTGTTGCTTTGCCTTATTGCTGTTAATTTACTTTACATATATTGTTCAGTTGCTTTATATTATTTTTTTTACCCTGTTCTTTTTTCTTTTTATTGCTAACTTTGTCAATTCTGTTTCTTGGACAGTTCTGTCATTTTATTTTACATTTAACAATGGCCACTCACTCTACACGTGTTTTTTTTTTTGTTTTTTTTTTTAATGGTAAGTATATTTTTTTCTAACTCCTGCATTGTTTATCCTGTAAAAATTGAAGAAAAGCAAAAGTTTATATTGTTTTTCAACCGGTTTTGTTTTCATATAAATATGTACAACAGAATATCTAACAAATGTAACTTATACATAAATGTGTTAAAATATTTTAATTTAAATGAGGAAATAAAATCTGAATCTATACAAACTTGTGTAAACATTCACAAATTATCATCAAAGTAAATATGCTCAAGTGATGCTATCATCTTGCAAAATAATATCGTAAGAGTTATCTTGTTCATGGAATTATACTGATGATTAGCAAAGGTGAGTTACTGCATTCATACCAGCAAACAGGTTAATGTGGTGCTAGTTTGGTAGCAGAAACAATTGAAGCAATGTTAACATTTTTCAACCTATGAAAACGAGAAACCTCAGTTTCAAAAACTGATCATTATTATTAACAACGCAACAGAAAAATGTTCAAAGTATTCATTCTAATGATTACTTTATTTTTTATTTATTTACACATAAGCTTCTAATAAGTGAAAGAAAAAAAAGCAAAAAAAGATTCTATTATCAAATATATACAAATAAGAGAAACAACAAGGAAGTTAGTGAGTAAGTCATCTTTGCAAAACATAAACTATATGCAAGTGGAGGGGCCTCAGTATCTTTACATCATATGTATGTGTATTTGAGTGTGGCATATAATAAAAGTTATATATGGGCTTCTTTCTAACATGGATCTGTCGAAACCTGATTATTTCCCAGAAATTAAGATATGTTTTCAAAAATGAACGAGGATCATAGTCTATTATTACATATATATATATATATATATATATATATATATATTTATGCAAATAAAATTTTATATAAGACAGGGTAAAAAGGATTCTGTGATAATCAATCATATTCAACCAGTTCAAAAGTTGGAATCAAATACCTCACATGATACACCACCATAATAATAATGGTAGTATTCCTGGCTAGAAAATAACAAAAAGAATTTACACAGGTTTGAAAAAAATAAATAAATAATAATGTTAATGTTCCCTTGAAAGTAACATGAAATAAAATCCTCATCACACTAAAGGTGATAAAAGAGGGAGAGAAAGGAATATGTAGAGAATGAAATGAAGAAAAAAAAGAAAGAAAAAGAGAAATCAAAGAAAAAAAATATTGTGATTGTAAAGGAAGACAACACTTTCTATAAATCACAACTTTTTTGTCTGAATGTGGACATTACATCATACCAACATGGAACTTTTTCCTTCCTGGACATTATTATTATTTTTTTTTTTGTCATTGTTGTTCATGAGATAGAATATCATAAAATGTGAAATATCAGAAGGAAGATGAAAGAAAAAAAAAATTAAGTTGAAAAAGGGAGAAAAATTGCTTCCCCATTTGTCCTCTTTCCAACAACTTGATTCAGCAAAATAAGCAGTGCACAAAACTGATAAAAATGGACACAGAGAGTTCCATAAATCTTGATTTTATGAGCATGGACAAGGTTGTTTTTTTTTTTGGTTTTTTTTTACCAAGATGCTTTAGAAGAGAAATGGCAAAAATGCCTGTGAACATGATTTGACCAGTTTCAAACACTGACTTTCAAAAAGCTGATGTCTAAATTTTTATCTCTACATTCAGCATAAACTTGAATAACATTTCTAAGTAGAGCAAAAACACAAAAACAAAACAAAACAGAATCCTTGAGTTTCTACAATATTCCTTGTTCTTAACACATTTGTGTGCTTATAAATTTGACAAAAGCAAAATGATATAAAAGATATTTATAAAGCTGAGATCACTCAAGAATAAAAACATTAAGGTTTGAACCAAGCAAGGGTTGAAATCTTTATAGTAGTAATGAGTCACAAGAGATATCTCTTAAACCAAATGATATAAATAAGTATAAAGAAGGAAATCTATATTAATTTCAGTACTAATCATGATGCTAATGAACAGCAAAATACAATCATAATATTATACTTGTTCTCTTTAAATCCAACAACAACATTAGCACTTTAGCATCAAAACCTGCACCTGTAAATATCAGCACTCAAAGTTTCACCGTTTGTGTGACTCTTCATTATTTGCAATGGTGCTATCATATATGAGAGAATATAAATGGGGGTGGGTTATGGTGGGTTGAATACTGAGAGTCGATATTTATGGAGTGGGTTTAGGCGGGTTGAATGCTAAACTATTAAGTTCTTTAATTTATAAAAAGAAAACTGAAACACAAGAAAAACAATAGACTGAATATTAAATGCCATTTTTATGAATTCCCACAAAAAATTAATACAGAACCCTAAAAAGAATAAAGGTTAAATTGAATTTCATTTTTCTATACAAATTCAATACTTGCTGTTTAGGTTTCATTATCCTATCCAAGAAAGTGAAACTTTATTTCTGAAGAAGTTTTATTTTCGAATTTGACATTGGTAGGTAAACTTATTTTATACTGCTGTCATTAAAAAGAGCATCTACCTTGAAATTCCACCAACACTCATATTAAATACACATAAGAGAAAAAGGAAATCAGTTTTCTAATTTGTTTGAAGGTAAAGCAAAGTTAATTGTTTATCGTTACAATCATCTAATGAAGAAGTTAAAGTTAATGCTATGAACAAAACATCCCGAGAGTTGTATGGTTGGGTGTGGTTTTTTTTCTTTTGCTAAGCAAAGATTGATTGATTGATTGATTGATTTGTTTGCTTATCAGCATATCAACTACTTATGGATCATTTAATGCTAAAACTTAAGTTAGTTTGAAGACTTACTCCAAACAGCTACCAGTCTTACTTCTAACCTGGAGGTCTTTATAGTAAAAGACTAGATCAT